TTTGGTAGTATGGATTCAAGTTTGTTTAAATCATGGCCCCCATAGGTACGGTGGGGCCATAATAGCTGCAGAACTGTAGCTCTCTGCTTGAGAAAAATCGGACAGATAAAGCAGAGAGCGCTGCTTTATCTGTCCGATTTTTCTCAAGCAGAGAGCTACAGTTCTGCTGTTAGGGCCATAATGGGTGATCAAAGTTTTAAGAACGATTACATAGAAAAAAAATCTTCTTCCCGAGAACAGGAATGCTGTGATTGTTCATATTTATACTGAAGCATCATTGGGTAGTGTAGATTAACGTTTTTTTTAAATCATGACCCCAGGGGGTAGAGTGGAGCCACAATGGGGAATCAAGGTTTCACGTTGGAATACATAGGAAAATTTTTAAAATTTGTTCACAAGAACAACAAAGCCATTATCATCAATATAAGGTAATGTAGATTTAAATTAGTTCAAATCATGACCAACCAGGAGAAAAGAGGAGCCATAAAAGTGAATCATATTGATACAAAGGAACATAGAGGCTATATCAATAAATTTTTTCATGGTATAAACAGCAAAGCCATTATGCATCATAATTATATACTCAACAAAAAAAGAAACGCATATTCAGATGAAATATGATAATCTTAGTTTTCAGTTTAATCCTTATTTTTGTAAAAAGAGATTTTAGAGGGTTTTGATATAAAATTAAGCATATCATGTGTTGCAAGTAGAAAAGTGAAGTTTATGTCATTGTCGACGCCTCCAAATTCTTCGGGAATACCGTCTCAACTAACCCACATGTTCTTTGCGCTGATGGATTTCCAATTTATGGATGTCATGCACGAATACCAGCTCCTCTCAGTATCTTGCGAACAATTTATGCACTTTTATGCTGATTTTTTTATTCAGCAATTCGTGCAGCAGTCTTTACAGCAAGTTCTGAATCGCGTGAGGTGTTGAAGGTGGGGGGGGGGTCAGACAGTTCTGCCTGGGTGTGGACGGGCAGAACGGCCAAGTCTTGGTCTTCCGACGTTAGCTTAACGGCTGCAAAGCCCATTGATGTATTCCAAATGCAGTTGCAACTTCCTGTTGCGTAGCTCCGTTTACTATCATTGTTAGCCTGCTTGTGTTCATCTTTGTTTCGGCGTGGCATTGCAGCATCAATACCTCAATCAAATCTTTAATATGGGTTTAATATGAGTATTAGTAAGTTCTCTAAATCCAAAATATCAACGAAAATAGACGTCAGATTTAGAAGAAATCGTGATAAAAGCAACTTTCATAAACACGTTTAATCAAGGGAGATAATTCAACACTTGGGTTTTAAAACCCCATGTTGTCCTTTAAATAGGGCACAGGTATCCAATGATATAAAAGATAGTTGTTCCATGTACATTTGAAAATTTCTTTGACGAGGAAAGCAATATGCGTTTCTTTTTTTGTTAAGTATATATTTGAAAGTATTCGTAAAAAGTATATATTTAAGTTTGTTCAAACCCCTTTCCTCTGAACCCACTTTTATAGTTAAACTTTTCAATCCTAAATTGATTTTTGCTTTTACCTAGCCAGTTGCTCAGGTGAGCGATGTTACCCCTGGGCTTCTTGTTTACTTTTGCACTAAAATGGTTTGTTCAGGGTGATCTTTTTAATCCATTAAGTAGAACAAAGTCCAGAAATTAACTTTACATTTTAAACTTAAGTTGACATCTAAAAATTTCAGAATTGTTGCAACTTTGATCTGATGGGGCTGGAAGTTACATGGGATTAGACCTATCCAAAAATTCCAAACTAGTTGCCCATCAAAAAATGTAACTCAAATCTAGCATATGAAGCAAGTTTGAGGCTGATCCCTTGATGCATCATCCATTTAAGATTGGATAATTTACCTGGTCCATTACATGTATCTGCATGGAAAATGTATGTCGGATCGAGCATTCGAAGCAAGTCTATTAGTGTGTATTCTTAGATGTATCACCCATGCAAGTTTGCTCGACATAGAGCATATAGTTAGAGTGAATCTGCTCAAAAAACTTTAACCTGTTCTCTCATCCAGAAAATGTAGGTCAGATTCTACATCCGAAGCAAGCCTGGTAGTGTGTATCCTTAGATGTATCATCATTGCAAGTTTTGTCATCATTGGTCTCATAATTACTTGGAAATGGGACCTGCACCAAAAACATGAACTTTTTCCACTCACCCAGAAAATGTAGGCCAGAACCTGCATCCGAAGCAATCCTGGAAGTATGCTTCCTTAGATGTTTCGTCCTTGTAAGTTTGGTCACCATAGGGCTCACATTTACTTCGAGATGAGACCTACACAAACAACTGCGCTAAAAATGTTGACGTGCTCCATAAGCATTAACCTGGTCATTTCTTTGCTGAAATTGCAGCATCTGAAACCTTATCGGAAGCCTGTTCAACAGAGCGAGAGTTCGCGAACGTTCGCCCTATTGAACACTCTTAACACCTCACAATAACCTTTACCTATTGTTTTTCTACATGACACCAAAAACATCAGTTGGGCTTAATAATAACAATTCTCTTATACACATGTTATTTCTTGTAATTCAAGTTGATTTGACTTATACCTCTGTTAATCTACACTATCTCAGCAGTGAGTTTGTTATTATTTGTCAACCTGGATTGAGTTGCTCAAAACACTGGTTAAATTTGACCACTGGATAAGTTAGCCATTGGTTAAATTCAATATCTACTGGGTAACTAACCACTGGTCAAATATTTGTTGATCAAAATAAAATTAGCCTCTGGTTAGCTAACCACTGGTCAAGTGATTTAACCAGTGGTTAGTATCCCACAATGCATTACATTTGTCCGTCTGTCACCACAAAAAACATGGCTTCCAACAGTGTCAACAAAAAAAGAAGTGAGAATTTTTCAGCTGATGAAACTTTATTTTTGGTGGAACAGGTGGAAAAACATATTGAGCTTATAAAATCGAAACATACAAACCAAGTAACAAATGTCAAAAAGGCTGCTGCCTGGCGTGAGATTACGGAAGCGGTAAATTCAAGGGGTGGGATTGTGAGAACAGTCGATCAAATCAAGGAGAAGTATAGAAAGGCTTGTTCCAAAGCGAAGGGGGAAATCGTCAGCCAGAAAACACATCGTATGAAGACCGGTGGTGGTCCGGCTCCACCCCCAGTTGATGCCATATCACAGAAAATTCTGGACGTGTTCCAAGACGCCCCAAATTTCGTTGGCATTGAAGGAGGGGTCGAAGTTGGAGGGCTTGTTTTTGAAGGTACTTTTCATCTTTCTGAAATTAAATTCAAATAAAACAATAAGCAGGTCTACACAATGTTTACATTCCACAACGAGGAAATTCGAAATACCACAGCCCGTCTGCGCACACTGAAAATTCCACAGAATTTATTCTTTCTCATTGATACAATTTAGTAGGAGTTTTTTGGTTTAATGTATGTGCTTTTTTTTCTTAAAAGAAATTCTTCTATTTATTAGGAGCTTTGTGGATCTATATTAAAGCATATTTCTACAAAAAATAATTTTTTTTGTACAGAGGTGCCATTGCCAGCAACAACTTCAAGTACACATGAGGATGCTGATTGTTCAAGTAACTATTATTTTTTATGCATATTACAATAAATACATAACAAAATATTTAAATTTGTAAGACTTTTATGTACTCAAATTATTTTTCATTCAATCAATAATTTTTTAAATAATAAATGTTAATCAAATCATCATCAACTGACATCATCAAAATATGTATTTCCATCATACAATGTTGGTGTGAGTACATTTTATATTAAAATACATGTACTTTATGACTTTTAATCAAAATGATTTTGAAAATTATTTAAAAAAAAAAAAGAAATTTGTTCACGAACTAAACAATATTAAAAATTATGTTATTTCTTTTATTGTATCAATTGATAATTTAAAATTAATTATTGATAATTATGATGCACGAATAAATAAATTACACATATATAAATGTTGGTCCATATATCCACAGGTGCATGTCAATAAAAATGATTTAAATTACTATACAGATCCTGTTGGAGATGAAGCCCTAGTAACTGCAGCAAACAACTTGGAGAGTATGCATTTTAAATAATGATTAGTTACCATTAATATGAATTATAAGATGAAATAAATTCATGGACTTTGAATGGAAAAAAAAAAATTCTGTACCATATGATAACAAAAATATTAACCTTTATTGTACACCTCTAAATTTTTTTTACAGAGGAAGCAACACAGACGATTGTAGAACTCCCTGATAATTTGACAGGTAAGCTTTCAATTGATTTATGAAAAAACATAGTAGATATAATTCATTTTACAGAGCATCATTTATACATGTATCATGTAACTTTTGAATGTATAATTTTTGCCAGAATTAATAGACATAACCCAAGTTAACAAACATTTGCAAAATTAATGTTTAAAAATTGTAAACTAAATGTGTACAAATTTGGCTCTATATCCATTTATGCATACATATATAATTGTATTAAAGAAGTTTTAGCTCTATTTTTTTTTAACTTTAAAACACATAATGTTTACCAGGAACAAGTGTCACATATGACCTGATGATATCAGAATCTGGGGCTAAGATTAAGAAAAAAGATGAAAAAGGTAATTTTAATATGCTTGAATTTTTAACACAATGTAATCAATAATCCTTGCAATGTTCAAACACACACACACACACCCTCACACACACAGAGAGAGAGAGAGAGAGAGAGAGAGAGAGCATTCATGATTAAAAATCCTAGAATTAAAACTATGAAAAAGATATTTATACCTCAGAACACTGAAAATTTTTCTTTTGAAATTTTGTGCAGAGAAAGGAAGAAAGAGGAAAAATGAAGAAAGTGTTGCTGAGCTGCAAAGACTGGTTCTGAAAGAAGATTTGCGAAGAATTCGAGAAGAAACAGAGCTGATCATACTACAGAAGGAAAAGGTTGCACTGGAGATTCTGAAACTTAAATTAGAAACATCATCTTTGCAAACTGAAAATGAAATGTAAATTAAAAGTAGTTATTGACAATGAATTGTCTGATGTTGTTATTCATGGGCTGGGCAGCTACTTCATCTATGACATCAGCCTCATCTCTTTGGTCCTGAGTGTCATCACAGCCAGCATCATTGATTGTCTCTCTCCTGTCCTGAGCAATATTGTGTAAAACAGCGCACGCCACAATTATTTTTGCTGCACGTTCTGGTTTACACTAAATTGAAAAGTTCAAAATTATATACTTTAATAATGTGAAGAGTTTCAGAAACATCTGTTATAATATGACTCAATTAAGACTGCATGCTTCTTCTTACAAATCACAAAAAATACATTGTATTTATGAATTGCAAATTTATTTTAAAAGTCTGCATATGAATTTGTAAATTATTTAAAATTACCTTCATTTCTCCATGCAAAGCCAAGAAGCGCCTTTTAAGCCATCTAAAACTTCGCTCAATAACTGTTCTAGTTTGTGCATGGGAATTATTATATCGCATCTGAGTCCTTGAATTTGAAAAGAGAATGTGTAATTAATTAACATTTACATTAAATTTTTGCCCCCCCCCTCATATCATATTATTTGTTACACAAAAGCATTTAAAGTAAATAAAAAATTATGGTATACCAATTAATGATTATAAAAGTATTTTTAAATGATAGAAAAATATACCCAAGTATTAAATTCAATTTTACATGGTTTCAGACTTTTGGTGGGCTTAAATTTAATAATTGTTTCATGGGTTAAAACTTTTCATCATTCATTTGAATATACATGCGCGGATCTAGAGTGGGGTCGGGGGGGGGGGGTCAGGACCCTACAAGATAAAAAAAATGTATATACTAAAGGAAGAGAAAAGTTACATCGGACCCCCCTTGGAAAATGCTGACCCCCCCCCCCTTGGTTATCGTGAATATGTTTGAAATGAGTATGAAAAGTTAAAAATTTGAGGCAATAGCCCCCCCCCCCCCCACACACACAAACACACGAAATAGGTTTTTCACTTTTGGGCGAGTTAAGGTTTTTTTTGGGGGGGGGGGATTTTTTGGGAAATTTTTGGAACTGGATTTTTTTTTGACTAGGGTGGACCCCCCCCCCCCTGGAAAAAATTTCTGGAACCGCACCTGATATATCTATCCTTAGACATATATTCTTAAATTCATTTATTTGCTAAATTTACTAGCTCTAAAATAATAATGAGAACTTTATTGTGTTTTTATAATTTTTTTTTTTTTAAAAATCTATTATGTACCCTTTTCAGAGCTCTCTAGTATGGGAAGGTATTTAATTACTCAAAATTCTGTAAACATCATTATCATGATGGGTGGAAACTGTAAACCATGTAAAATGTGTTATAAGTAGTTTGAAAATGTGTTCTTACTCTGATGTTGGACGTAGAAAAGGAGTCACAAGATATCTGCTACAAGCATAGCCACTGTCTCCAAGTAAAACACCGTCAATATCCAAGCCCCTGTGATGTGCTTCAAGGTAGGCCCCGATATTAGATTCTCGGAATATGAATGAATCGTGATTGGAGCCAGGCCATTTGGCAACAATGTTAGTGAATTTGCCTGTAGGAGATTTTATTTTCAATATGTAAGGCATAAATTAAAGGGAAAGAAAAAATATAAATCGGACCCCTCACTCAAATTAACAACTTGATATGAAAACCACTGAAATCCGAATGTAGTCGAGTACAAACTTTAACTTATAAAATTAATTGAAACATCCTTTGGCATGCACTCTTTAATTGGTTAGGTAATATATATTGATGTTTGTGGTCTACTTTAACATTCAAAGGACTATTTGTTTTTCTTTAAAGAATACTTGCCTTCATGATTGCATATAGCCTGGGTGTTGATCGAGTGATACCCCTTACGGTTGACATAAGCAGGTTCATGGTCAGATGGAGCAATAATTCTCACATGTGTGCCGTCCACAGCACCAACTACAGCAGGAAATCCAGCAATTGAATAAAAACCTTTCTTAATTATCACCTTCTCATTTGGGGATGGCCACTTAATAAACTGTGATGATATGTTCACTAGTGCCTGTGATACATCTCGAACACTTCTGGATACACTTGATTTATGAAAACCAAGTGTATCTCCTATGGTTTCCATATTATCCCCTGTAGCATAATAACGCAGAGCCATTTCTACCTGACTGAGGGCTGAAAGGGAGTATGACCTTATGGTTGGGCGACATAACTCTGGTTCAATCAAGTCTGTTATGTACTGGACTGATTCGCGTGAAAACCTGTACCTTTGTTTATACTCAGATGCATCAAAATCATGATGAAAATGTCTAAAAACTCTCTGTTTCCTCTGTCGTCTGCCATAATTAACATCGAACAACAATCTAGAAGCCATGTTTATCCACTGGTTAAGAGACTTAACCCACCTCTGTGGAATGGCTAACTTTAGCCGATATTTAACCACTGGATAGCAAAGTTAACCAGTGGACAAATTTTGAGCAACAGAATTTAACCAATGGTTAAAAGTTAACCGCTGGATAAGAGATTTAACCAGTGGTTAACCTTAACCAGAGTTTTGAGCAACTCAATCCTGTACTCCATATATTATGTCCACAGGTAGTACTAAACAAGACCAGAAGTAAGTTCTTCATATATTGTGTTCAAAATTTTATTAAGGGTCACTTGAAGTCTTATGCTTACCGAGAGGCATTACATTACTAGTAATTCCTCAGATATGCTGAAATAGGTCTCAATAGACATTGCTGTCTTAGCACTGAATTCATGCTCTGACAATATTGACCTTCTTCCAAAATCAGAACCAAGACTTAATGTCTATAGAAAATCTCAATCTGTGCAAGCTTTCCTGGCCATGGCTTTGGTCATATGTGAAGATCAAACAAAAGAATTGTACGACTCAATCATGATGGATGCAGCAAAGTGAAAAATCATCTTTGCTTTAAAATGTCTAACTTTTTGGTTAAAAATTAATGGAGCGATGTAACATCATCTAGAGGATCATAATATGCATTTTACACTTTACCAAGCGTTTATGAAATTGGTGTTTGCTTCTTATAATTTCCAACATCTTCTTTTCTAAACTATCTCTTTGAAGTGCGCAATGTGTCCACACAACCACATAGGAGGTGAGGTAAAGCTGAAAAGCGATTGTTGTCTTGTAATTTTTTCATAAAATTGGGATGTCAAAAGTTGCAATATTATGGCCTAAGAGTAAAGGCCTGTTCCTATTTTTTTTTAATAATCTAGAAAATTTAAAAGAACCACTTTGATGTCTGAACTTTACACAGGGTTACAATCATGGTACATCTAGTTTAGAGAAAATTGGAATTTTATCATTTAAGATCACATCACCAGCATAAATGCACAGTTCTTAAGAACCTTGAAAGTGGAGAACGGACATCTCGTCGATAGTGCCTGGAACTTCAATGGTCACTTATTTGCTCTGGGTAAGAATGGATTCAGACACAGAATTGATGTCATGGATAACATTGACCAAATATTAAGAGCTTAAAAACAACGAAAAATTGAAAGACTAAAACTTTTTGAATTGTCTACAAATGAAACCAAAGTCCGTCTTCTTATGCCAGGGGCACCAGCATCAACTCGTTATGATTTACCTGCTCAGTTAGCCCCTGGTGGTATCACAGAGGAGAGACAGAGATACGTTTACCGCTTCAGTAAGGCATCTTGTGAGGCCATCGGTCCAAGACCAGACCTGCTCGAGAGGAGTGAAAGCCACACGGCGAAGTTTAAAGAAATAAAATAATGTCAAACTTGAAAAAAATGGTTTTTGTTTTAAATGGCGTATAAAATAAAAACGAATAATCCCGTATGACATTCATATTTCCAGGAAATTAATATGTTTACAAGGTCATTGTATCGACCATAAAACTTACGAAATGAATAACTTTCAAATCTCTATGCCAAATCTGCTGGTTGGAAGTTGTTTTTTGACCATAAACATGAGCTTTGAAGGACTTAAATTCATCTCCTACTAAAGCAACATCACAATCTGCATTTTGCAGAATAGCACCAAAATGCTGCTTCAACAGGTCAATTCGTTCTACACCAAAGACAGCTAATTCCTGCCTAGTTTTGGGATATTCAGTGAGATCCAAGAGTGTTGCAGCTGCTTTAAAGATGGGACCCTTTTCTATTGATGGAAACATTTTATCAATTGCTTCAATCAGAACATTGCTTACTTCTTCTCTTTCTACACTTAACATTTTGCAGGGTAATCTTGCGATATACATCTCCATAAACCTCTTTAATAAACTTGCCTAGCTCTTCTCCATTTGTTTGTTTTCATTCAATGACAGAGAATGGTAATACAAAAATATTCTCAATATTTGAGTTTCTGGCTGTCCTATATCGTTTAAGTTTTGCTTATCGCTGTAGCCAAATTTTGACCTAACGTTAGCGCGAAATTCTCCTTGTTTATTTCTAAGCGCGAGTATGCACGAATATGGTATTCAAATCAATTTTACAGTTCAGCAGGATTCGACATTTATAATGTTTGTCCGGTATCAGTAAACAAGAGGTCCACGGGCCTTAAAGATCACCTGAGTATCATGTAACAACTTTCCAACAATTGAATTTGGTTCATGTTTTAAACCAGAGGCAATGAAATTCACAATTCTGAAAGAGGCACCATTGCTTATCATAATTACACACTTACATGTAGCATGCTTACTCTAGTAACTTATTACCCAGAGGCAGATCAGAATAACAAAGAGAAAATGCACTTCCACAATATAACCAGTTGTGCACTACACCTCACAGGAACCACTGACCCTGGAGCCACAATATTTTGGAAATTTTATCATAAATTTTATTTCATCATATAAAACGGTTGATTAATACCACAGGGGCCGGTAACATACTGTTTTTTGATTTTACGTAATCACTATATATATACAAAAAAGGAATGGGAAACAACGTCAGCCAGAATTTACACAGGGTCGATCTCGGAAATGTTTCGTATTTCATAGAAAAAAGAATGTAGCCAATTAAATTATAACTAGAAATCATACTACAATAAATATTCTTTAATAAAACAGAAACCTCGTTACTTTTTATAGCGTTTAAGTTGGGTAATACTAACTCGATATCCCGTTGTGCGAGTCGATGTACTTTAAGTCGTCCACTAAAACGAGGCAAAATTCGCACATTTTCTCCAGTTTTGAAGTCTTTCCGGAGATGGAAAACACAAAGTAAAGATCCAGCGTTCACGAAAATCATCTTTTTCTTTTGTTAATTGCAATTAAAAGGTACAACATCTCCGATTTGAATAAATACGGTAGCTTTTTTCGTTCACAGAGAGGCTTGAGCCCAGAACAGACGACATTTTGGAAAAACCCATGATTGGTAAAAGGCGGAGCATGATTGGTCAGATCTGTTCTAGAAAAGCACCACTGACCAATCACATCTCGCGTTAAATATTGGATACAATGTTTAGCGAATTTAGTGGACGACTTACATTACATCACTTGCATGACAGGATATCGGATCTGCAAAACACGACTTACACGATTCTTAAATGACCGCGATGGTATTTTTATCAAAGAGTGATTATTACTGAATGATCCCAGACGTTATTTCACTAACTGCAAGGTATTTTATTGAAAACACGAGTCATTTCCGAGATCGACCTTGTGTAAATTCGAGCTGACGTTGTTTCCCTTTCTCTTTTTGTATACATATAGTGATTACGTAAAATCAAATACAGTATGTTAAAGGCCCCTGTGATTAATACCAAAGAGCAGATTTCAAAGCCTTAATTTATTTTCAGACTATGTACCCCCCCCTTACCCCTGACCCAGGGGGCATGAATTTAAAGGGACTGGGGGTTGTGACCATTTTTATCAAACTACATGTATACTGATCTCCTTTAGAAGAAGACCTCCATATGAAGACATACAATAATGATTTTTTGAAATTTTTGAAATTTTTCTTTGCCAAATGATAGTTGACGACTTAAGATATCATATCTAAAAAAAAAAGTTATATCTGGTCGTTAATTTGCTGACCCCAAGCCTCCTTAACCACTTTGCTAGATGCACCTTTCTCTGTCATAAATATATAAACCTAGATCTTGGCATAATACCCAGGAGGAAAGGAAAAGATTTTCAAATAATTAACGTATTTTCACTTTATGTTTAAAAGAGCCCTCCCCCTTCCACAAAATGGCAAAAGCCCAGAGCTGCCAACATTCTGAAATGAAAAATAGTAAGGCGTGGTCCGGGGACCGCCTCAGCCCAATGTCGCTGAAGATGTTTTGCAAACGGACATGCAATCGGAGCAATTTGAGGCACGTTCCGTTTTTATTTTGTTTACTTTAAAACTTTGACATGAATGCGATCAGCCATCTATAAATAAAACCGAAATGACGATACAAACAAGCGTGGTAAGGATTATGAATATTTAATTATACGAGGGTTGTTCGAAAAGTTCGTGAACAACTGCCATATCTTTTTTATTTGACGTCATATGTTATCCAAATTTGGTAGAAATATTTTTACAATAAATCCAAATGATTTGTATTAATTTTTACCAAAATATTATGATTAATTTAAAACTTATCAAGATTTTAAAAATGCAAAAATTGGATCGCGGAGCAGGTCAAAATTTAGTAAGTTACAGACAATACACTATGTAATGTCTGAAGTCGCATTCTCCATAAAATGGAGCAAAAACGAAAAACAATCTAGAAATTCAAATTAAGAATTGTTACACCCATTCGTATACCAAATAATGGCTTTATATTTTGCTTTGTTGAAAAGAAGTCATCTTGAGAAGATAGGCAGTCCTTGTTAAAAACGATGACGGTTTAGAACGTCACGGAGCAGCAGGTAACGATGCAATTTAGTGTTTTACTCAGGAAAATCCCTGATTATAAACTCTAAAAATGTTGGAGAATCAAGAAAATATGTCACAAGCGAGTTGTGCATTTGTGTACAAATAGTACAGGCGGAGACTCTGTATCGGATGAAAAACAATCTGTGAAGCTATGATTTAACTGTAAAAATCTGAACAAAAACTTTAAAAAGTTGGAACGTCGAGGAAAGACATGGGCGCTTCAGAGTCGCGTATCCTGTGAATGCAGGGTTAAGTAATAAAATAAATTAAAAGCTTAACAAAGGAAATTATACAACTAAAGCAATTCTTAAAAAATAAATGCCAAGTATCAGAACAAGGATTCAATGAGATGGTATTGGATTATACTGTATGAAATGTATAGGGATAGTATTTTTTAGAAATTCTTGACTCTATGTTTTGACGTTACATTGACGCTAATTGTGCTCCGCGGGTACAAAATATGTTGATTTTTAAATGAAGTAATTTATTTCTACTGAATCGAATGGTATGAACGTACAC